TTGGGTCTTATTTCCATCGTGAAATGAATTGCCAATGATGTTTGCTGACCTAGATCGGAAGTAAATAGTCTTTGTTTTTACTTTCAGGCTACTTGTAAATCGTTAATTTTCCCTTTATACTAAGATATAACCTCTCAATATCTACTACAGGCATATTTCATTTTCAATAAAAGGAGAAACACGGACAACAAACTGGAATGAAAACTTAATATTCATTTAGGTTCCCAGCAAAGCATTCACACATATTGAGAATGGGGTTAGCGATAGCTGCGTGGTTCACCTGTGTGACAGGAAGACTGGATGTATAGATCTGAATAGCATTCGAGAACTAGGCCCATCTGTGGACAGATTTTGAATACTATTAAGTATTCTTCTCCGTGACTATTATAATCAGGTTGAGCCATAAACAATTGTGGTTGATTGCACAAAGTGTCCATTCCACGTCGACATACAGCTTAGTCCTTTTCAATGTTCTATGACGAAAGACAGGGTGTAAAACAGTTTAAAGCAGTCATTTAGGAGGGACACCATTCTGTTCGTTAGTGAGCTGCTCATCCGTTTCTATCCGCATTTGTATTCTCTAACTTAACATGATTTAAACAGTATTTTATTTCCCGACATGTAATATACATGAAACATTATTAAGTTACAAAAAGGAAAAAGGATCAGCAAACAGGCTGTATCAGCCTATGTAAATGCTTCTCCTATCTAAATTAACATCATTGCAATCCGAGATGAACAATTGACTTGATTGAAAGTGTTCGTGACGTGTGCCACTTCTTGAGCAGGATATGCTTACTTTTTCGCGAACAGCTAGTATCAGCAATATCTGGCAGTGACTCGTAACACATGCTCAAGATATATCGCACAAGTATACAGCCCTCCTTTTTTAACTGGGATTTGTTTTTGACTGAAGGGTTATGTCGATGTATTTATGTCCACCAAATACCATGTACTACGACTGCAAATATGTATTTTGCCATATGTGCTGTGTTTGATTTGAAACCACACTGGGTAAAAATATGTATTATTCTCCGTCCATACATGCGTCATGCGGTCTGACAAATAGGCACGAGGGAACTGTATTATGATAAACTATTATGAAAACCAATGGCACACTAACATGTCAAGACAGAAATACCGGACACTGTAGTATATAATACAGTGTTGAGTGTTGGAGACAGGTACCTCTGTGTGCATGTCCAGTCCCGACTGAATCTTGCAGGGTCCTTTGGTTATTGTCTTTGTCCCGAGTTTGATCACGTGATTACCGTTAATTGTCTCACAATCGATATTAAACATTTGCACCCAAACATTCAACTGTACACTTACTAAAAGTGTAACTGAACCACAAAACAAATAAAACGAAAAACGAAGAGACAATAATACAACAAATGAACACAAAAAAATCACAAGCAAAAAGAAGAAACAGAGAGAACAGACAGACATGAAAAACAAATGGGCAGCAAAAAAAAAAAAACTAAAGAAAAGTAAAAAAATCCAAATGCGACTAAATAAACAGAAACATAACATGTAAAGAAATAAAAGCAAAGCAATCAAACAAATACATAAAAAATAAAAGGAAAAGAAAAAACAAAGGGAAAAGAAACATATGCATTATGAAAAACAAAACAAATGAGCAAAGAAATCCCAAATAAACAAGTAAAAAAGAAAGCGAGTATAAAGAACAGAAACAAAACATGTCAACAAATAAATACGAAAGAAGTAAACAAATAAAAACAAGAGATAAAAATACAAACAAAACAGCAGCCAGCTTTTTAAATAGCTGACGAAACCTAATTTCTTACTCCATAATTAATGCCCCCAGTAGAGAGTCATCTAAACAACTATATTTACTTGAAACATTTGTCAGTATTTCTGTCATTTACGTCAGCTTTGTAGGATGTCAGAACATACATTTAAATACATCATGGACACATTATTCTTAAATTATTCCCCGTACTGAAATGCTCGTTAGCTACCTGTGTGGTACAACTTTGACCGCAGTGCAAGCTTGAATAATCAATTTGTAGGTGTATGTATTTGTGAATGTGTATGTGTTTGTGTATGTGTGTGTATATGTGTATGTGTGTGTGAGTGTGTGTCTGTGTATGTGTACGTGCCTTGTCCAATAAATGTGACTTCAGGGGTTACCAGAAAGAGCGTCACATAGTGTATACAATTGGGAATCGACCCCTACTTGGGAATCGACATCTTCGGCTAGGCTACCCGCACCGCCTTGATATACATAATAAAATGAAGTAGTGTGAATGACACAGTTTATACTTGGGGAATCGAACCACCAAGATCTTCGGCTAGGCAAACCCACCGCCCCATACACTAGAACTGAGACACACAAGTATTGTCAATCTTTTACTAGAATGCCCCACTTCATATATATCTTGTAAAGCAGGCAATCACATCCAAAAGTATGCTTGTAAAAAAGAACAAATATTAGTGAGTGAGTGAGTGAGTGAGTTTAGTTTTACGCCGCACTCAGCAATATTCCAGCTATATGGCGGCGGTCTGTAAATAATCGAGTCTGGACCAGACAATCCAGAGATCAACAGCATGAGCATCGATCCAAGCAATTGGGAACCGAACATGTCTTAACCAAGTCAGCGAGCCTGACCAATTCGATCCCGTTAGTCGCTCTTACGACAAGCATAGTCGCCTTTATGGCAAGCACATGGGTTGCTGAAGATCTATTCTACCCCGGCATCTTCACGGGTCGAACAAATATTAATGAAGGTAAGTTAAGGAATTTACGCTTGAATTGACACGCAAAGTATATACAGGCATTATAAGTTATCAGCGTCCTTAGAACTAATATAATTAAGAAGAGGATCGTGTGGAAAAATCATATCACATGATATTTCACGTCATAATTCGAATATCTAACAGTTGTTTCACTAATTGATGGTGGAAAGTGTAACTGACATGTGAAGCTCATCTTGTTATTGCTGTCATTAAATGTTACAATTGGAATAACGGTAGAAGCAAATTTGGCTATCCGAACGTTTTAAAGTTCTAGGATTACATTGCCTTGTCTTGACAGAGCCCAAAACATCATTTACATGTATTGTTCATCGTACATGTATCGGTTGCATTACCAGGCGGATGCATTACCATAAAATGATAATTTGCACGGTCTATTTGTGAGAAATATATGAATATACTATGGACTATATAAATAGTGTTCATGTGGTTTCAGTAAACATGAACAACATGATATACTCAGTATGCTTGTCGTCTAACGGAGTCAGGTATTTAGGCTCGCTAATTGTGTATATCGACGATCATTATGTCGATCACTGGATTTTTGGATTGCCTTGCAAGACTCGGGTATTTACAGGCCTTTGTCATACAGCTGCAGTTGTGCCGATACAGCTGTATAGAAGAAACCAAACAAAGCAACTGCTTAAGCAAACAAATATACAAGCTGCAAAGCGTATTTTCTATGAACAAATGTAATCGCTTCTGTGTGAAATTACACAGTATAACACATGATGTTGGTTCCTTATTATACTTGCTATATATTGTCGTTTCCGCCCATAACAGCACATAACTTCCAAATACTATACATGCTATTATTCCCCATAGCAAAACACAGACTTCACAAATTATACAACAAATGGCCTCCCTTATGAAACGAGACAGTGTTTCACATGGGACAGTACTTAGCTTCCCTATCACACAAGACAGTGACTCCCATGGAGTAACAGATGGTTTCCCTGTTATACACAGGCTGTGTTTCCGATAAGAAAATGCACAGCCTCCCTATTTTACAAGGCAGTGTTTCCCATATACTATACTATTCATAGGTTCCCTATTATACAAGGCTGTGTTTCCCATATGACAATGCATAGCTTCCCTATTTTACAAGGCAGTGTCTATCATGGAACTATACATAGCTTCCCTATTATACAAGAATCTGGTGAGGCTGTGTTTCCCTGACAATGCATAGCTTCCCTATTATACAAGACAGTGACTCCCATGGAGCAACAGAATCTGTTAGTTTCCCTGTTATACAAGGCTGTGTTTCCCATATGACAATGCATAGCTTCCCTATTATACAAGACAGTGACTCCCATGGAGCAACAGAATCTGTTAGTTTCCCTGTTATACAAGGCTGTGTTTCCCATATGACAATGCACAACCTCCCTATTTTTCAAGGCAATGTTTTCCATATACTATACTATACATAGCTTCCCTATTATACAAGACAATGACTCCTATAGTACAATACATAGCTTCCCTTATTACTCAAGGCAGTGGACTCGTGAAGATCCTGGTTAGACTTCCGTAACCCATGCTTTTCAATAGACGCGACTGATCGGGTGGTCAGGTTTGCTGACTTCGTTGACACATATCATCGTATCCCAATTGCATAGATCGATGCTCATGGTGTTAATCACTGGATTTTTTGGTTCAGACTGGATTATTTACAGAGCACCGTCATATAGCTGGACAATTGCTGAGTGTGGCGTTTAACAACACAACACAACACTACACAAGGCAGTGTTTCCTATGGGACAATGCATAGCTTCCTATTATACAAGGCATTGTTTCTCCCGCGAAAACCAAAATATACCCTGCTATAAAACAAATTTTAAAGAAACAAGAATTTTCCCACATAAAGGACACACTAACCTTAAACTGTTCTTTCTTCTGCTATTTACTAATTTTTTCTTAAACCCTTTCTTGATTATAGAAACAGACATTATGCCCTCTGTTAAAAAGGTTCAGTTAAAGAGGGCATAATGTCTGTTTCTATAGTCAAGAAAGGGTTGAAGGGAAAATTAGTAAATAGCTGGAGCTAATGATCTTCCACAGGGATTAAACGTATATATTACAGCGTTTTGTGCTTCCTGTCACATTTCATCGGAGCGTGAACCATGCTTTGTTAGAACATTTTATTTCCCTCAATTATTGAAGAAGCAATGCAAGTTTGTTCGCTGAGTCAGAAAGACGCCAGTCAGTGTTGCTGCACACAGAGACATGGCAGGCTGCAAGACAGTTGAGAATGTTGTGCATTTATTGTGCTTAAGTGTCCTCCTCCGTGTTGGCGCTGTACCAACATCGTGCAGCATCGAGTCAACGCCCAGCCGTGATGATGTCAACACCACTAAAAAGATGAGATGGACGTCAGTTTTGTCAGCTCGAGTCGACTGCCTACTACGGTGTTACAACGACGTCCTCTGCAAGAGCTTCATCTACAATCCACTGACTGGTATCTGCTCTGGCTATTTTGCCTATCCCTATACAGTCACAACTGCAGATCTCCACAGCTCTTCAGGCTCGAAGTGGTTCACTATGTGTACAGGTATGAAGACTCTACAATACTACCCCCAAAATAGTTAACTTTGTGTTGAAGTATGTAGTCAGTATTGTATTATATCATTTCTCTAAGTCGTCCACTGTGGTATACCCTGCTTAGAGTTTAACATTTGAAGGACATTAATGGGATTGGTTGGTTAGACTCGATCGGTGATTTGGTTGATGCATGTCATCGTCTCTTACTACATATAGGTCGACGCTTATCATTGCTATCAGTCAGTCACTGTTATTTAGTTGGAATAAGACAACGGACAAACAACCAGTATCCAGTCTAACATGCGTTCAGGTATGTAGGCCTTACTGTATCGCCTAGTCTAAATGACTGGACGTGCGTACACACACACACACACACACACACACACACACACACACACACACACACACACACACACACACACACACACACACACACACACACACACACACACACATATATATATATATACCTACTTGTCCGAAATATTTACGCATGTGTACAGGTATGGAGACGTGTCACTTACTTATTGCAGGAAGTGTTAGCGCAGGAAATATGCCACCACTCGTAGTTTATTGTATGCTGGCACCATTATAGGATACCCTGGCCCATAGAGTTCATTTTGTGCAAGGTAATGTACCTCACCATTGTAGTATTCTTTTTCTCGAAGTAGTTCATTATATGTGTACTCCATACAGGTTGCAAAAGTAATGTAAGTCCCCGTGGTTCCTAGTATGGCGATCTACCTTCAGTAGTTGGCGATCTATAGCCCGTGTTTTATACTGTATTGTTTTCTTTAATTGGAATTTTTTAGCTTTGCTCGCTAGTTTTATATTTATATTTGTGATTCTCTAGTAGATTTACTGTCCATCGTCGACAGATTTCTATCTTCAAAATGTTTTCACTTTTTATTGTATAAATTGTTTCTGTCGCGATATGGCTGAGATATTGCCGGATGTGACGTTAAATATTAACTCACTCACTCATTATAGGTGTTAATATGCAGTGTGTTTCCAAATTTTGCTAGCCAGACAGCCTTATGTCGAAAGTTACTAGCCCACAAATTATTCACTGGGCCGAAATTTGAAGTGTTTCATCCTGCTAATATGATGATTTTATCAGGCCATAATCTTGATTTAGTAAAAGTGTATTCCTTTACTAGCCAGTTAAGACCTCTTACGGAATTCAAGGGCCAGTGACTATTTCGAACTGGCCCACTGTAACGCGCTATGCCAGTGGCCGCATGCAGGCGCCGCTGTGGTACATCCTGGCTGCCCAGTTTGTGTACAAGTATTTAGTACCACTGTGTTATCCTGTCTCTGAATAGTTTCAGTATATGTATGGAATGTTGGCAGCACGGTACCATGTCCCGCCTTGAACAGCTTCAGTATTTGTACACGTATGTCTGCATTATTAAATATATGCTTGCCCATTGTGGTTCATATACATACATGATATAGTTGTGATAGTTTGTACGTATGTTTTAAATTCTGCATTATTTCTGTGAGAGTTCACTGAGTATGCTTATTTCCAGAACACCACATTGTCACCCGACGGTGCGGGTCGGTCAATTGTCCTGTCACCGCCTCCTTCAGGACAGGGAACTGTGGGTGTGGTTTCGGGCGCAGGTTTGACCCTCAACGAATTCATGTGTGAAATGTGAGTACAAGTGTGTTCAATATACCTCTTGTAGCTGTTCTCATTCCCAGGTCGGTTCCGCCTGGAATGCAAGAGTGAGTGTGTGAGTTGGGTTTTATGCCGCTTTTAGCAATATTCCAGCAATATCAGGACGGGGACACCAGAAATGGGCTTCGCACATTGTGCCCATAATGGGAAATCGAACACGGGCCTTCGGCGTGTCGAGCGAACGTTTTAACCACAAATGCTACCCCAACGCCCCTGGAATGCAAAGAGCGGATAATGCACAATGCGGTACAGTATTTGTTACAGAAACCCATAAATCAGCCAGGGCACCTTCTCTTACGACCAAATACTCATCCACTAATGTACCATGTGTTATTCAGCTGCATGCAATTATTAATGTCACAAAACACTATGAATATGTACTTCTCATCAGTTGGTTGTATTCGGGGCGGTGGTGTTGGCTAGCGTTTAACCCGTAGGCTCGTCACGCCGAAGACACAGGTTCGATTCCCCACATGGGTACAATGTGAAGCAGATTTCTGGTGTACCCTTGCTAGAAAAATAGATAAAAGCGGCTTAAAACCATACTCACTCATAGTTATATTCTTGAGAGGCATTTAGATGTTGGTGAATATACAAAATGAGTATATGGATGGCAACTTCTTGATTAGTGTATAACACAGCATTTCCGGGCTACTTCTCGCCCCTTCTTCAGGTGATTAAAGACATATGTACAAAGCAAACTATATATTACAGATTTACAGGAAGTCAGATATGTTCATAAAAGTTATGAAAGCAATGATAATTTGGATTAGGTAAAGCCAGTTGACACACATAATGAGGTAAGGAGATGAGGACACAGCAGAGGGATATACAGCTAATTAAGGTGACAATTAGGTTTACAGGAAGCCAGAGATGTATATATAATCAATAAGTGAGACCAGATGAAAAAAAGAAGATATAAACACAATGATAATGGGATAAGGTAAAGCCAATTGACACATAATATTATGTCACTCCGTTATTGTCACTCATGGTTGGTTCACGTGTAGTTTGAACACGGTGTAGGAATCTATACATAAGCGTAACTCCGCATGTGTACAGAAATATGCCACCACTGTAGTTTATTGTTTGTCACTCTATGCAACAAAACAAAAACTTGCTATCCATAAAGTCGTATGTCTCATAATTGACTCACTCAACTTTGACGCCGAAGTGGCGTAAATCCCATTCACATGTCTCGACAATGTAGGTGATCTCTTAAAGCTGCTTGCAGTGACCGTACACATGGATACACATTACGGCTTTACACAGATTTCGAAAAGTCGAAATATGTGAAATGCTTCCCGCGCGTTTTCGTATGCGCGTATTTGAACTACGTTTGAGTCACCGTTATGAAACAAACTAAATATTAAGTAGAATGTACACCTCCAACAAGGCAATGCTTTTTATGGGATATTTTGTCCGGAAACACGAAATCCTCAGATTCCGTAGCCGCTGATTAAACCCCATGCACAGCCGTTGTCGTGTTTTCGGTGCTACAGGCCTCGGGAGAGCCACATTTCCGAAACAGATAGCCTAAATTGATGTGGCTCTCCCGGCAATAGTTACGGTTGCGTGAACATGGAATGTGGCTCTCCGGCAAAAAGTTACGGTTGCGTGAACATGGAATGTGGCTCTCCCGGCAATAGTTACGGTTGCGTGAACATGGAATGTGGCTCTCCCGGCAATAGTTACGGTTGCGTGAACATGGAATGAGGCTCTCCCGGCAATAGTTACGGTTTCGTGAACATGGAATGTGGCTCTCCCGGCAATAGTTACGGTTGCGTGAACATGGAATGTGGCTCTCCCGGCAATAGTTACGGTTGCGTGAACATGGAATGAGGCTCTCCCGGCAATAGTTACGGTTGCGTGAACATGGAATGTGGCTCTCCCGGCAATAGTTACGGTTGCGTGAACATGGAATGTGGCTCTCCCGGCAATAGTTACGGCTGCGTGAACATGGAATGAGGCTCTCCCGGCAATAGTTACGGTTGCGTGAACATAAAATGTGACTCTCCCGGCAATAGTTACGGTTGCGTGAACATGGAATGAGGGCTCTCCCGGCAATAGTTACGGTTGCGTGAACATGGAATGTGGCTCTCCCGGCAATAGTTACGGTTGCGTGAACATGGAATGTGGCTCTCCCGGCAATAGTTACGGTTGCGTGAACATGGAATGTGGCTCTCCCGGCAATAGTTACGGATTTGCGTGAACATGGAATGTGGCTCTCCCGGCAATAGTTACGGTTGCGTGAACATGGAATGTGGCTCTCCCGGCAATAGTTACGGTTGCGTGAACATGGAATGAGGCTCTCCCGGCGATAGTTACGGTTGCGTGAACATGGAATGTGGCTCTCCCGGCAATAGTTACGGTTGCGTGAACATGGAATGTGGCTCTCCCGGCAATAGTTACGGTTGCGTGAACATGGAATGAGGCTCTCCCGGCAATAGTTACGGTTGCGTGAACATGGAATGTGGCTCTCCCGGCAATAGTTACGGTTGCGTGAACATGGAATGTGGCTCTCCCGGCAATAGTTACGGTTGCGTGAACATGGAATGTGGCTCTCCCGGCTTTGCTGTCAAAACATGCTTAGTAATTCAAACAGTTTACCGAATTTAACAAAACAAGACATGTTTATTCATAATTTCATTCAGATCACAACAGATTTTATTTTTATAATTGGCACAATATAATATACTAATATTACATATAATATTATCACATATTAATAAAACACATCTTAATCTGTAAAACATAATGATGATGATAATGGTTTACTTTGTTGCCATTTGTACACTTCAACTGTCTGATGCATTGTGATGCGTGGACATCCACAAACACAACTCAACTCAACTTGGTTTATGTACGGTGACCCCAGTCGGTCAGTAGCGCTGAATAAGTCTTATAACCGCGATATGGTAGCATCCGTGGGCGTTGGCAACAGCAGTGTATGTCTGCAGCATCCCAATGGCGCTTTCTCTCTCTTCCGCTGTTAATCGTGGCATATTCGTACTTGTGTATCTGGACTCTCTTTATACCATATGAAATCATTCTACACGTAAAATTAATGCAAATATTATTGCTGCTTTTGGCAACTGATATTGCTGTGAGTAAATGTTACTTTGCCAGCAAAAATGTTAACAGGATCATTTCCACTTATATACTGATATCTAATTGTTTACTATGTATTACGTAATACGAAATTTCTATTTCAGCGTGCGGATCATACGGGAACGACTACACGCAGCTGACGGGCGTTGGTATAAACGGATACAATGATAAACCACTTGACATATCTGACCCCGAATCCTGTGCACGAGCTTGTTCAGATGAAACATCCTTTGTCTGCACCATGGCAGAATCTGTCTACGGAAAGTGTCGTCTGTCCCCAGGATTGTTGACGTGGTTCACATATCTCTATTGTACGTGTCCGAAACAGCAAATCTCTTTCTACGCCACTGTGTGTAACAGCCATAGGTTTTGTGGTCGGGTGTTTTAATCTCAATTCGAGTAAGATTAATTTGTAAACGTTATGGTGACAGGACTGAGAAATATGTTCCTATTACATTATTTATTATAATGTTTGTCTCTTCGGTGAAGCATTTTCTGTCCAAAATGAGTTTTAAACCCTATTGCAGCCTATCCGCTGTTATACGAAATGAATCCCAAATCCTGACATTTTTTAGCGCTTATGTATCATAAAAGCAACTGTCAAACTCCTTGCATTAATAAGCGGTTCTTTACATATATCTAAAACGGAATATCTTGAATAACCAGTTTTTTCATTATGTCATAAAACATCCAGAGCAATCACAATTACGGTCTAAACTGTTGAAGAGAAGTATATATGGAATATTTAAAAGGGAAAATGTATCTGCGCATGTAAGAGAGAAGCACATCCTGCATAGCGACCATGATCTCAGTCGAAAGAATGAACGTATTGTATTCAAAATGCATACTATCTCGACAGATGATACATTCACAAAGGATTACGAAATATAGCGTTAGAAAAGAGCTTGAAAGTTTGGATGATAGGACACATTTTGAGTTCAAGTCTGTTCCTCTCAACTGCTGCGCAGGAGAAGGTTCCATGGTGTGTTTGTGTTACCGTTGGGATTCTGCAGCTGAGTTCAGGTCGCACAAATAGCTACACACAGATAGGTGCATCACAAAGTCTTGTTGGTGATTCTTTTTAAGATCTGTAACGTGCGAATTGATGTGTTTCAAGTGCTGCCAACCTGACTGTTGTGTCATGGATATGCAGCATTGTAGTAGTGAGATAATTCGTTGCACCTGTCAAAAGAACATGACAGCAGTCGACCCTAGACATATTTAAATGATTGAGTGTTAGACATATCCGTATTTTCTATATGATTTTGACTTGCAAGAAACCAACCTTGCTATTGTTATATATTTATAATTATACTGTAAGCCATTAAAACGCAATTGGTATCTGTTGTTCTGAAACTCACAAAAGTTCTATTGAAGATTTTTTCCTGCGATATCTGCCAGTTAGGTTTATATATGTTGAAATTGGTGTGAGTAAAGAAAGTATGAATGTCAAATTGCGTTTTTAATGGCTTACAGTATATTTATGTTACAGGGAATGTGTGAAACCAGGGATTTCACGTAATCCCTGAAAGATTCAGTGATTTCAAGTGAAATCACTGCGACCCCAGGGATTTCATGTATTCCCCAAAATTTCCAAGGATTTCATGAAATTACTGATTTTATGGTGTTCCATTACACAAATTCCCTGTTAGGATATCAGTGAATGTGTGAAATTAATGTTTGAAGCTTAAAACTTTACTGTTGAGTCACATTTCATCCCTTAGTTCTTTGAGTTGAAAACTTTGACAATTTACCGATGACACTTTTGGATAATTACTATCTTGAGTCGGGATACCAAGTTAATTGTCTCACGGATTTACTGTTTAGTCTCATTTCATCCCCTAGGTCTTAGGAGTTGAAAACTCTGACTATTTACTGATGACACTAAGTCAAGCTAAGAGGGAAATTACATGTTCCTGGTTTCCAGTTGATGTTTTGACAAATGACATTTGTATAGATTATCTTCATAAACTGTTTTCTACATGTTATGAGACTGGTCATGTACCTTCCAACTGGGCACAGGGGATCATTAACCCTTCCCCTAGGTCTGGAGCTGACAACCTGAGAGACCCAATGTCCTATCGCAGCATCACACTAGTGCATCTTATTGTTATGACTAATACTTTAATCAATATTCCTTTGTAGTTTCAAAAGTTACAGACGTTTTATTTAGAAGGATTTCTGTTTATAAATGGAAACAGGACCTTTACAAGTTGGTAGCTTAACTGGTAGGGGAGGTAATACGTTACACACGTACAGCACTTTAAAGGTGGATTTTTGCAGTGATTTTTATGTTAATTGTAATGTCTGGCTCTATGAGAAAAGCAATAGCTTTGTTTAGATGTGTGCGGTAGCGCCGCTTAGAATCGAAACTGTAAAGATTTTATTGAAGATGAGTGTCATGTTCTATTGCGTTGTCCTTTGTACGCTGATGAGCGATTGCAACTTTTATCTAAATGTACAAGCCTTTTTAGATGTTTTTTTTTTAAAAATCTGGGTATGTTGAAAAAGTTTAGTTTCTTCTAGCTTGTCCAGGTGTATCGTTTTATCTGCCAAACTCTGCCTTAATATTCTTAAAAAGCGTACTGCAAATTTGTATATATCTTCTTAATGTAACTTGTACCCTTATTATTGCCTTTTTATATGCATATATCATACTCTGTATATTGTGGCACAAGTGTCTTTCATAATTCCGTACGGAATGGCTCAACATTTTACTGTGATATAGAATTTAAAAATTTAGTGAGGTTTTTCAAACATTTTGTTTTCTTTATTGAAAATAGACCTTTAAGTTTAAACAGACTAGACCATTCATAGAAATAACTTGGAATATACATCATCCCGCTGTTGAAGAAGAGCTCTGGGATATGAGTTTGGGAAGGAAAACCATATTTCATGTTTGTCCTCAGCGTCTTCTTTCTACGAATGATGTGACAATGGACAAAGAACTGTTTCTCCACACAGCCGTGATTTTCGAGTCGAATTGTGGTGGTCAGGGTTTCCAGAAATATAACTGTTGTCCTAACCAGTGTAAATCGATACGTTGTAAATGTTTTAAAGTGCTACTGAAGTGTAATAGCTTGTGTGATAACACTCTATCTTGTCCCAACAAATGAATTTTATCAACATATACTATTGACTCGCATTATAAATTTGGTGTTCTCTATTTCAATATATTTACAGGATTTCATGAAATCCCTGAGCTAATATTTCAGTAATTTCATGAAATCCCTGGAAATTTTAGGGAATACATGAAATCCATGGGGGTCACATAAATGTCTCTCTTCATTTTAACGTGTTTTACTTGATGTACTTGATGTTTGCAATCACTGTGGTTGATTGAGGCAGTTATTAACAGACCTCATCTGATGATGCATTTTATTTTAATCTATTTCATGTGTTGAAACGGTTATGGTTGTTACTGTAAGTCATTTTTTGTAAACATACTCTGGCGTATTGAGGAACCATATACATCATTGTCAAACATGGTGGCATCCTGTCAGTGAACGTACGAAATGGCATTGTAAATATATACATGAAGGCATTTTACACATTGTGAGATTTTCGAGTTTGGTTTATAAATACAATTAGATCAACAACCATGTATCAGCTTTCCATGCATTGTGGAAAGATATTTGATTTTTATGCACTATGCCTGCTCTATTTTAATTTGGTATGCATATACATATGTAGATAAATGAAGTTCTAAAACATTTAATCTAATTTAATCTTTATGTATTATCGTATTTTTCTGAATTATGGACGGAGGGTCGACTATACTGATGCCGATGTTTCTGGGGTTTTAATGTGTGAAGACCATCTTTTGTGTTCACCAAGATATTGCCCCAGAATGACCCAAACAGTGTAAAACAACTCTTATTCATTCTTTGAAATTAACGATTTCTGTGTCGAAGAGACGAATGAATGAGACTCAATATACACGTCAAGGCATCCACGTCAAATGTTTTATGTTCCCTGTGTTTGTTGTTTTTCAATAAAACTTTCTTTCACGCAATGGTTTTTCTGTTTGTTGACCTCAACTCAAAATAGTCACATTCTTAACGAAGAGAGTTCTATGGATGTACAACTTCTTTAATATAATATGAGCGACGTTTCGATGTAGCTACTAACACCGTTATCAAGCAAATGCCACTCAAACAAGAATAAAAATTCTGTTTATGCACGTTATGGTTGAACGAACTTGTGGTACTATCAAGATATGTGCTTATGTCTTGTCAAAACAGAACACAAAACTCCAAAACAAACTTCCAAAACTGCAACAATTTCCTCTAAAAACGAAACAAACGCATCTGTAATGGAAATGGAAACAAAACGGCAGTCACAGCATCCCGAAACTGCATACAAATCGTCAAACATGGTGGCGTGATACTACGCTTCGCATGATAGCAATCCTATTTCACACTTGTTTGCAACGTCTCTCAACTCCTTGCAAGTATCTGCAGGCATTGTTCTGCAACATCGGTAGGAGCACCTTGAAACAATATCAGCTTCATCAGTATACAGCCTTTATATACACATCACTGGTGGCGCCATCAATACTTATAAATTCTGCATACAGCGAATAGATCTGTGCTTGCCATTTTGCAGTACTGTTTATCTCTTTTATTCGTAACGCCAGTTGGCAAGGAATAAATAGTCTCAGGCAACTTGTAAATCATTAATCTTCATTTCATACTAACAATATGACCTCTCCGTATCTGCTACAAGCACATTTCATCATGCCCTACATGTACAACACCATTAACAAAGAAACCCGGACAACAAACTGGCTTGAAAAACCTCATATTGATTTAGACTCTCTGCTACCTAACATTTGTTTCACTAATTCATTTACATCAGAAGACATTGCTGGAAAATAGTAACTGACATATGAAGCTCATCTTCTTATAACTATCGTTAAATGTTACAATTGCAATCACGGTAGAAGGGAATTTGGTTATCCGATCGTTCTTGAAATTCTGTGATCACATTGCCTTGTTGTGACAGAGCCAGAAACAGAAAACAGAACACAGGGTCCTATTGAATCCTTTACATTTACTGTTCACCTCACATGTGTCGGTTGCGTTACATGGCGGATGCATTACCATAACATGATAATTCGTTTGCACAGTTCATATTAGAGCATATAGTGCGTGAGTGAGTGAGTTTGGATTTACGCCCCTTCTAGCAATATTCCAGCAATATCACGGCGGGGTACACCAGAAATGGGCTTCACACATTGTACCCATGTGGGGAATTGAACCTGGGCCTTCGGCGTGACGAGCGAAACAAAGCTTGAATCACAAAGTTTGAGGTAGCTTCGTGATTCAAGCGTTCGCTCGTAAGACCATATAAACTGAGAGTACACGCCCGTACGATATAAACCGGGACAATGTGATCAGTGGATTCAGTGAACCTGAACAGCATAATATACTGAGAATGCTTTTCCTCTAGCGGAGTCAGGTGTTTAGGCTCGCTGATTGTGATCCAACTTGAATGCTGGATTGCTTTGCAAGACTTGGGTATTTACAGACCACTATCATACAGCTGAAATTGTGCTGACGCAGCTGTACAGAACAATCGAAACAAAATAATTGTTTGAAGGGGACACTGATCCAGGGCACTTCCATCCTCGGGAATGGTTGTTGTTGCTTTGATTATTGTTTTTCTCCTAAAGTCAAATACTTACGGCAATGTTACACTAGTAGAGGTATGATGTCATAATGGTTTCCAGTTATGACGTCATAATACTGATATTAATAGTATTAGACCCTGCTTGACTCGAGGAAAGGTGAGAGTCATCACACTGTAGGCAGTTTTTAGGAGAGCAATAAGCAGAATACTAAGCTCACTTTCGTTCGTTTGATACCAAACCATTAACATAAAATTTCAGTTGAAAAATCTGATCTCAAATCTGCCCACTCAGAACACATCGTCCAAAAATCCAAACACTCTATCAACTGGCAACACACTGAAATCCTGGCTTCCATTATCAGTAATTGACGCAAAAGAAAACTTCTTGAATCAATCAACATATGAAGATTAGTACCCGAGATCAACAGGGATCAAGGGGTTTACCTCCCTAGCGCCTGGTGCATGGTTAAGGCTCATAACGCCGACCTTTCGACCAAACTTCACGGTTGAGTGAAAAAATATATCGGCGTCCTGGGACTAGTTTCATTTTGTTTGAGTGGCATTTTAGAAGTTGAGACTTACAGTATAGAACAAGTTTTTATGGATAACAACTTCTTTATTTCGTGAGTGCGACGTTTCGATACAGATTCTTGCTTGACAACGGTACAAGAATCTGTTTCGAAACGTCGCACTCACGAAATAAAGAAGTTG